GACCTTAAAGATTCCTATTCTCCTCACTGTCATCTTTGAACTTTCCATTGTTTGTGCTTGGATGAACCTTCTAGTCACCAGCAGAGTGAATTTCTGCTGGGTTTTTTGCATATACCTAGTTCATTAAAGAATACTGCTTTCTTACACAGAAAAAAAAACCCCAAACCTAAAACACCCAAAACACAACCAAACACTCTTGCTCTGAAAGCTGTTCCTGGTGCATTTATGGAAGAAATGCAAAAAAAGGAAGTTAAATGAATGTAATCAAATGAAACTACTGCCAAGCTGACCCTAAGGCAGAAGTTCTGAAAAATGTTGTCAGCCTTCATTTTTGCGCAGGTCTGGCAAGCATTCTAAGTTTAACATGCACCCACCGATGACTGCGCAATCTAAGAAAGTGTGTGTGGGGGGAAGACTAATTAGCTACAGTTTCAAAACGTTTCATTATCTGCAAGTACATAAATTGTGAATGACAGGTAAAATTCAGTACTTCAAACAGCTTCTAATTGAAGTCGAAGGCGTGCCAGACCTGCTCTGCGCCTGTTACTACGCCCGAGGGACGCCCCTGAGGTGCGGAGGTAGCAGGCTGACTTCACGTGAGAACTGAACGTCCCGAAACACCGCTGCTTGGCCAGCTGGTTGGTCACACACAGAAGCTAACCCTGTATCAAGTAGCCTTACAACTCCCAGAGGGCTCAAAAGTACCACTACCAGAGTCAAGCTGGAGAAACTGTTCACAGTCTTCCAGCAAATCCGCAGTTCCTAAGCTCTTTAAAATACTTCTCCCACCAGATGTGTATTCATGGCACAGTCTGTCCTCCCTTCCTTGCTCCCACTTCCCAGCCCAGTAATTTCAAGAGCCCCCTTTCCGTAGCCTTTAAAAACAAACAAGCAAGCAAAAGAATGTAAGGAAATCAAAACTTGTTTCAACATCGCAGTTCTCCTCCCCCAAAGCAGACGATCCTCATCTCTGCGCTATTTACATTTGTGTACGAAAGTTCATCACCCCACTGAAATACAGCCTGGTTCTACCCTCTTCTCACACTTCCCGATGACACCTTCCCCTCGCACCGCAGCCCAGCGGCGGCAGAAAAGGCGGACCGTGAAAGTCAACCCTCAGCGCCGGCACAGGGCCGCGGGGACTGACTGCAGCACATCGCACAGGGCTTGGAGCACACCTTCCAGGCCACAGAATCGTCACAGAGCGGCAGAGGCTGGAAGGGACCTCTGGGGACCACCTGGCCCAACCGCCCTGCCGAAGCACGGTCACCCAGAGCAGGCTGCGCAGGACCTCGTCCAAAGGGGTCTGAGTATCTCCAGAGGAGAGTCGGCAGCCCCGGCCACGCTGCAGCCTCGCTGGGTTTCAGGAGCACAGACCGCAGGCGACCGATGAGACAACCACGAGCGCTTCGCAAGAGACACCGCCTGGCTCACGCCACTTTTTTCATCATGGAAGTTTTGAAGCAAGATGTATGTAACTCCAAGATTCTTCTACCTGTATCTATGACAATGGCAAAGAACACTTAAGCACAAAAGAATTATTTACTGGAGAAAAATAAAAATATTCTTCTGTTAAGCGGCAGGAACTAGAGGATGCCCACTTTTGCTGTTAGGCAGGTAACTACAGCAGTACATGTTCAGTTACGGAGCTCTAACAAAGCACTGAAGCTCTTTCAGGTGGCTCCTGGACTTTTCAGGTTTGGGCTGGTTCTCCTGGCTTACCTGACTGCAGCAGTCTGAACTACAGGTACCGGATGCAACTGCACCGAGATATTCTCCAGCCACTCACATTTAGGTTAGCACCGTTTTTCTCAGCCCAAGGCTCCAGCACGCAGTTTTCCTCAGCTTTAGGACCAGGGTCACCCTGAGCTTACAGTTCACCCTGTAACTGCAGTGAGGTCCCCACACAGTAAAATTCTGAAACTTACACATTCCACAGCTCAAACTGTGCTTCACTGCTCCTTTAGAGAGGAACACGTGCCTGCAGGGAAATCACAAAAGACTTCAGAGGAGATCTTGAAGTAACAGCCACGGTTCCAATCACCCTGAACAAGCAGGGAATTGCTCGTAACTGTTCCTACCAGCTCAGCTCCACTGAAGGGGATGCAAGACCAAAAATGCTTCCAGAACAGACTCACAGCCCCCTCTTACTTCTCCACTCACACACAACTTCAGCAGATCCGGAATTTATGCAGTAGAGTTTGAGCAGTAACGCAAGGAATTCTCTTCTCACAGAAATGTCATTTCAGCATTGCGAAGACTGACCAGAGGTATGCGCTGCTCTGCTGTGTTTTTAAAGTTACACTGGGAGCTCGTTATTCCTCAGCACCTATCTCCTCCCACAGCATATTCGGGTGGCGATATTTCATGGTTGAGGTTGGTCAGCCCAATTCCAGTTCTTAAAGGGCAATCTACATACTTTCTTCCTGAACTGAAAGATCTTTTTAAGGAGAAACACACAAGATCTCCCAACCAAAACCATCTACAGCAGTCTAAGAACACTGAGGACATTCCTGTTTATCCAGGGAGTAACTGGGGAGGGAGGGGTGGGGGTGTAAAGGCAGGGACCAGAAAAGCTGTGACTATGAATTTATGGATGCAGTTACAGAAGTTTAATGTCATAGCAACAAGAAAATCTCTCACAAGAACAACTTCAAATGACTTTATTTTTTAAGTATATTAGCACAATATTTACAAAATTGTTTCATAAATAAAAACATTTTCTTGGGTAAAGACTCTAGATCTATAGATATTTAAAATGTCTATATATTTATATACACACATACACACACACGTGGAAGCACACAGTTAAGAACAACTTTGGTTTTAAATTACTGGTGGGAAAGGGCTGGGTGTATCAATAACTTTTTAAACTCTCACTTTTAGATTTGTACCTACAAGAAATCCAGAGCAGAGCCCTTACCACAACAACAGGACAGTGGGTTTCTCCCATTTCTGGGGCAACCAACTCTGGAGCCCGTACGGGGCCACCGAGCTCCTCAGGTTTCAGCAATACCTAGCAACAGCTCAGCCTCATCCCACAGCGAATCAAACAGGTTCTATTCGCAACAGTTTTTGCAAGGCAGAACACCTCAACAGAATTCCAGCTGGTTTGGTTTTTATTCCTTAGCTGCTCAACTTTCAGTTCGCCAGAGGGAATCACTAGTTATAAACTGGGAGCTCCACATGGTACCTAATCAGGTAAATTCACACCAAACTGTTAGGGGAGAGTCATCTCCCATCTTTCGGTAGAGATTGCTGTGATCATAGAAAAACCTGCATCAAAAGATTCACATACAGGAGCTCAAATCTTCTACGAATACTCCCACTGACAAATTTGAAGGTATGGAAGTGTAAGCTATACGTGCCTCAAATGCTTTATCTCACAACTAACCCAAATAACCCTTTCCATTGCGGCCAGTTCCACTGATTTTAGTGAGGGCCGGACCACGGGTTGCTTTAAGCGGTTCAATCCTGCAGCTGTAGCAAGAGGCCTGTTTGTGAGAGTAAATATTGTAAAATCAGATACCTCAATATTATTTTGTTGAATTCTTGATGCAAGGTGTCTGCACCAAGCCTTGGAGCTCAACACACAGAGACCCGAATCTCTGCAACATGCACCCATGACACGTATATGAACCTTAGTTTGTTTGTAACATCCAACTCAGACATGCCAAATTACTCAGAATCTTTAAAAACATGAATTTTATTACATCACTGTTTGGCAACAGCTTTACAAACAAAGCTTTAAATTGTTAGAAGGAGAAAACCATGTGTGCCTTTGAAACGTATTACCTTAGTACGAACAGGAGACAGCGTGAAGATTTCTACAAAGTATACATGACGTCCAAGAGAAGCCAACTATATTGGAACAACTCTCAAAACAGCTGTAAAATGTGGTAAAATCTCATGGAATGTGCAAGTCCTAGAAAACTGATTTTTATGTGTACCACTCACGTATATACAGAAACTGAGCCTCCTCACTTCCCCTCAGCTGCTCCTACTTCTTTTCTATTTTATGTATTTGTGATGTAATAGCAGCATCACAAACTTGGGTCAGAAATGAAATAGCTCCTTTTTCCATTGAAGAAAAGAGATTTTAGGCTGTCAAAAATACACGAAATATGGCAACTCCTATTTTTATGAAGCATCAACGAGTTTTACAAATTCACTGAGTTAAGAAAGCCTGAAATTGCTTCCAGTACCACACACTGCACAACATGAACGCGCACACAAACCACATTCAGCATGAAAATTACTAGCTGCTGTGCTCCATAATTCCAGTGCTGAATTAGGCTCAAACAGCTGAACAGTTTCTCATCAAAGAATATGGAAGAGGCACGGCGAGCTCTCTCACTGGACTAAAATACCGGCCACAAGAGCATACATGACTACAGTCCATAGAGAGGAATACTACTGTTTCGTGGAATTGGGAGAACTTGGGGAATAACTCCTGGAGAGCTGGGAGTAAAATTGTACTTCTGCAACTTTGTGTATAAGCATTTTACTTATTTTCGTACAAAAGTTTTGCTGAATGTCAGAAAAGATGTGTTTGTACAATCTCTGCTTCCTGCTTGTATCACAGACATACGACCACACCTTGCCCATGCACACAAATAAAGAAAACAATAGTCTAAATGGTATTGCAACCTTTGGGCTGAGCAGGCCCATTACCAAAGCAGTGACTAATGATAACTTTTGAAAATAATACCACTAAGGATTACTGCAGGGAGACCCTGTAGTGGGCAAACAGTGCTTTTTATATTCTCGCTCTTGACCATACCATATATACCGTAACAAAAGAAAATAAAGACCACATGTGGGCAAACACACATGTTCCTCGCTACAGCTGCTGTGACTATAAAATTACATCATTTATCTCAAAAGCACTTTTGCCACACATGCAAACAACTAGTTTCCTGAATTTCTTCTCTTTGAGTAGTGCATCTTCAAGGCCACGGTGTATCAACAACGGTGTACTTCTCACACTTCACATAGCTCTACAGTTCTGGAAAAGAAGAGAAAAGAAAAAAAAAAGATTGTTGGGGGAGAGCAGCAACATTTTGTGCTGCCTACCCAAGTTACAGCATAAAAAAATGACTATTTCAAATTTTGAAAGCATGCTTGGCACTCAAATAATGGAAAAGAGTGGTACTAACAGTACTAACAGTGATGTTTCAGCCCCTCCACAACAGAAAAGTGGACACTGTCTTGGAGCTCCAAGTCATGAACTGGAATAAGCTGTAGTGGCTCCCAGCCTTAGCTGTCTGACCTGTCCTATCTTCACTCCTAACGCTGATTTACTTTCACACACCATTTTGTAAGGTAGGGTACTTGAGTATCTGACTCATCCCCCCTTCAGTGCATGTGAACTTTCAAGGGAAGGTTAAGGCAGAAATCAGGTGAAGCTCAAAAAGTTCCTGCCTCTAGCTTGCAAGTAAGAGCCCTTGCCTTCCATCTGTAAAACTGTTATTTTTAGGAGCCATCTTTGAGGGCAGAAAAAGCAGCCAGACTTCTGACCCTACAAGTCAAAATGAAATGGGTAATTCGCAATTTCTGTGCTTTTGGAAGCTCTACCTCAGCACTGGAAGAGGCGGCAGGTTTTTATAAGCCTAAATGAGACCCAAGAAGAAATGGTCAACTTAAATAAAATTGGATCTCCAAGCAAAACTCTACCTGGTTCTTCAGCAGTATGTAGTATCTGCATAGATCCCATCCTTATCTCCCTTCTGGTCAGTTCTGAATGCAACAGACTGGCAAATATCTATTTGTTTCCTGATCTCGAATGACTGCCTTGAAAAACAAGCAATAGCCACTTCTGAAGCAGGACCTACCTTCCACTCCTCCCACTTCAGATTACACTAACTGGTACAGGTTTTATCAATGCATTTAGGAGACACCAATGCAGCTGTCCCTTGTACTGCAAAAGTGCTAGTATTCCTATTGGTTTAGAAAATCATTCTATGGCCTATTTGGATGAATCACGTAGTAGTCACAAGTAACATAAACCAGCAGTACATGTTACTTGTAAGGAAGCCTGTTTTAAAATCAGCCGATACACTTTTTTCCAACTGGGGCTAACTAGTACCTCATTTTTCATCACATCGTCAATTCATGCCTTCTAGAAGTGGCATGACATAAAAATATTTCAAGTAAATTAGCACATTTGGAGTGACCTTATTCTTTGCCCTGATGAGAAAAATGTTGTATTTGATGCAAGAGTACTAGGCTAAGGGTCTAGTGATACCTCATGACAAGCTTGCTCAGTTTCCAGGAAGAAACAGAAGTACCAAGAGCATCAACAAGTGCTCTTTTATCCTATTCCCATGAAAAGGAAGTATAGCTTCTGAATAGGAAAGAATCAATACAATGTTTTCATTTTCAAACCTGAGCATCTAATCTAAAATTTAAGTTCTTCAGTGAGAACAATCTAGCCAGGCAAACGATATGAGCTGCAGGAACCAAGAATCTTCACAAACTTGGCTACCCACTTCAGGTACCAGTTTGGGAATTTTGGGCCAAGTTAATATAGTTCCTCTCATTTCACGGCTTATTATAAATGAGGAGGAGTCTATTTACATGTAGTCTGTGTTGCAGTCTCACAGGCTGCTATAAAATCGAAAAGGACTAATCCCAGCGTTGAGGGCATTTCAAATTGGAAGAAATCTTAAGTTACGCCAGGACACCGCAACATACATCTTTCTTTACAATGTCTGGCAGATCTTTAAACATCAAGCATAACCAACAAGTAGAAACCACAGTGCAACTTTAGTTCTTAAAGTTCAAAATTCAGGTTTGTCAAAAATAAGTTGAAGTTATTTAAGCAGTTCTTAAATTTTATTAAGGTGTGTTTCTTTCAGTTCTGCTCATTTTTAAACGCTACTATCTGACCCTGAAAAATAATAAATTGAGTGAAATCTGACTGCAATACAAACAACGTAACAAAACCCAGAGAATTCAAATAACATCTAAACAGGGGAAGGGGAGAGAAAGCCTACTTATAAACCACTTTTCTGTGAACTTCCACGGGAGATCACCCATCAAATACATAGAGAAGGCTTAGTTATATTAATAACAACCAAAAAGAACACTGCAAAAAACAAATGCAACAACCCACCACGCATCTTACACACTATATAAGCACAAAGGAAGCACACAAACTGTTTGACTTTCCAAATTCGACCAGAAACACACTGTTTAATAGTTCTCTCTCACCGACTCATCTTCCTTACTGTTTAGAAATACACATTCTTCCCCTACGTATGACACAGAAAGTATGTGTTCTTTCTTTTCTTTCCTTACTGCTCTCTACAACCACCTGAAAGGAGGTTGTAGTGAGACTGGTGTTGGTCTCTTCTCCCAACTCACTAGCGATAGGACGAGAGGCAATGGCTCCAAGTTGCGTTGGGAGAGGTTTAAATTGGATATTAGGAAAAATTTCTTTACTGAAAGAGTGGTCAGGCATTGGAACACGCTGCCCAGGGAGGTGGTAGAGTCCCCATCCCTGGAGGTGTTCAAACAATGTGTAGATGTGGCACTTCAGGACATGGTTTAGCAGGCATGGTGATGTTGGGTGGATGGTTGGACTTGATGATTTTAGAGGTCTTTTCCAACCTTAATGATTCTATGATTCAATGGAATATAAATTTGAATAAGAACAGCACTTGCATTAAAACCTGTCCTCCAAGTTTCATCATATTAGCAGTGGGTAACATCAAAATCCCCAAATACATGTTAATTAAAACAAATATCTGGAGATATATTTGGACTTACCATCATTCTAACATCACTCCTTTTGCATCTTTAAAAGCCAAGCAAATGGATTAGTAATGAGCCAAACAGCAAGAAATGCTTCATAATTAATATTCAGATTAATTCTAAAATTCAGGTTAGAACTTGCTACTACTCAGCATGCCAATTAGTGAACAGAATAGCAAAAAATATAAATTTGGAGTCATCCCTTTCTCACTGTAAATTTCCCCCATCTTAAGCGCTATCAGAATATCCCAATACCATGGTAAAGTATCCCCAACCCAAAGAACTATCAAAACAATAGTGACAAGGACAGATTTTGCTATAATCATAAGTATTCCACCAAGATAAATGCTCATGAAGAAGAATTAACACCAACTTTCAAGACCTGTCCCTTCTTGTCCTCTTGAAAGTTGGACTTTTTTGCAAAGCGAAGAGGGTGGATGTAATATCCTGAGATATTAGATTTGTCCTAAAACACTGGCTAGCGATCACAGTAGCGTAGAACAGAGGGTCTGGAGCTGCAGGCACAATTTCATAGAGAGCGCAAACTTACTGACTCAGAGAGCCATATAGATTGATACACCGATCTGCCATCTCAGTGCTGTTGTACTGAGAACTACAATTATTTTTTGACCTTTTTCCATAATTAATCCCTTAATTAAAAGATAAGCCTTGAATGTCACGTACCATTTAGTGGTTCTTCTACAGCTTTCTGCAAAACATTTAAAAATATATATATATGTATAAAAAGCCTTCATGTTTACTTTTGGCTCGCCACAGTTAAATTACTCTAATTGACATATACAGTAAGTAGTGATTCTACAAAAGTGAAGAAAGCTGAATGTTAATAAAATTAATGACTAGAGTTCTGAAAAAAATTAATCAATAACTGCATTCTCCAGATTATTTTTTCCCCTCACTGTAAATTTTTCCTTAGACAAAATACCTCTAGGTGGCAGCAATAGGCATGCAGATACTCCTTTTAAGCTCTAAAAACTAACTGATGATTTCCGTGATTTTATCAATGTTCAGTAACAAAGTAGCATGACTAAAAAAAACAAAAAAAAAAAAACAAAACAAAAAAACCCAAAAACACAAAACAAAAAAGTAGCCAAGCAATCAGATGTGATCTCCTCAATAGGAAATACACCACAGTTGTGTATTTAGTCTGGTAGACAATCATCAGAAACAACACACACAATCTACAGAAATGTTAAAATAATCACTAATTGGTTAAGATGGCAGATTTCAAAATACGCACCTTTTCCCCCCCCCAGACTCAAGAAAATATCAAGCATCATTTTGTAAGTGTGTCCCAGTGTCAAAATTGAGCAATTCACCAGTATTCAGTGTTCCATAGTCTTTAGATTACACAGAATCAAAGTGCATTTTCAAAATAACTTCACACCTATTTACTGTCTCAAAGTACAGCAATATACGCTGAAGAGTCCTTGATGGAAACAGGCAACATATTAAAACGCTTAATTTTGCACTAGGTCTCTGCATAACTTCGGTCAGTTCCTGGGCACAAATTACTGCCACCTGAATTCCTCTGACCATCCCCTAACTGCAACTGCAAACCCTATGTTTTTAGTGGCTGAGATTTCCAGTGATCTAAGTTCTAAAAATTTCTTTTTATTTCATTCCTATCTCCAATTCAGATAGTAACATGGTGTTCACTACTACATAATTGTGGCTATTTCTTTATCTGTCAAATTCTCGCTGCAGTATAAAACTACCTTGTGAGGAGAACAGCTGGTAAAGAGAACAGAGTTCCACAAAGGATGTTATTTAGCATGTTTATTTCTACTTCAAAGCTTATTTAACAACCAAAAACTAAGTTTAAAAAAAAAAATCTCCTCTTGCCCTGTTTGTTTCCGTTCTACAAGTAAACACAAACATATTAAAGGCAAGACTGCGTTTTGAAAGAAGCATTTCTGTAATACACTTCTTAGCTCATTTTTATAACATAGGGAACACCGTGAATCTCTTTTTTTTTCTCTCTAAACTCTGCACACTTATATTCCTTCCATAAATAAGAGAACAATCCTCTGAAATGCTATTCCTTAAAATAGAAATGGATGAAAAAAAGCAAAGGGGAAAAAAAATAATCTGTTGTGCTAACTGCGGTTAGCTCTCCTGCCCCACTGTTACAAACCATCTTTCTTCAACAGCTGGGTCTCAGGCTGTGGACTGAAGAGACCTGGAAATGTGTCTCAAATGATGGCTGCCAGCCAAGAAATGGGATGAACTTAGTATTTGCCATGCTCCCCTGCTACAAAGAAATTTTACTGGTATTTTATAGTTGTGCCTCTTTACTTGCTTCTGCAAAACTCCAGAAATCAGTTCACATTCACGGATCACTAGGAAAGCACTCCTTAAGTCTATGAAAATTACTCTTTTAGGAATGCTTACTCTAGAAATAAAAAAATGAAAAAAAAAAAAAAAAAGACTGAAAAACTGCCTTTAAAACAATCAATAAAAGTGCTTTTCCACTTGTTCTGTGTGACCTAAAGACACTCTTCATTCAGACGGTTGCATGAAATTAAGGGGCATTATAGAAAAATAAGAAAAGAAAAAAAGATCAAGGCTACAGCAGCCATATAACTGGGAATTCAAGAGAATATTAAAGAATTCTGGTGGAAAAGACAATAGGAAGAAAACCCCTAAGTCTTTGTGATAAGCCACCCAGATAAAAAAAAAAATTCAATGGTATTCTGCACTCACCTTAATGAAAAAGCATTTTCATTACGGTGAGCAAAAGTCCTTTATAAATTCATGTCAAGAGACTGCATTGTAAAAGAACACCAAAGTTCCCTTCACATCCACCACCTTTTTATGACAGCCCTTGAAACTCCATTTAGGCACAACCACCTGAGTAGCCGTTAGGTATGGGTGGCAATCACCGTACTACAGACACACTCAATAGGGACAATGAAGACCACCAACTCACTCAACATTAGACATCTGTTACACAGCCAGAACTTTTGCTTGCTACCAACCTGGTCTGAACTCGAACTAGTGAAGAAAGGTTCAGTATCTCACTACAATCCCCTGAGCCATCTAGTCACCCCAAATTTATTAATTTTAAGCTTACCCCTGGACGAGGATGATCTTTCATTCTGGAACCTAAAATAATTACAAAAAAGTGACCAGGCAGATGAATAAGTGTCATGATCAACCGAATAAAAATATCTACTGATAACACTTGGAACAGAGTAACAACACACAAAACTGAAGCTTCCCCTGCCCAAAACTACTTAACACGATGATCTGCAAATTGTTAAAGCCTCTAAGCACTCCTCTGTTTAGGAACTGAATAATCTTATCACGTACAGTCTGCGAATTGTCTCACTCATGCATTCAGCTCTAAAAATGAATTGTGTTACACACTATTCTTTGTGCTTATTTTGGTGTACTGGAATCTACCCCAACAGTCACATTTCACTCAGCCAGCATAACCAAACCACAAACGTAGAATTCATGCATGCCATTAGCGCACAGCATCACAGTTGTATGTATGAGTAGCCCAAAGTCAATAAAAATTACTTTTATGGTTGTTGAAAGGCTTGCTTCACCTCGGTCCCATTTTTGACTCATCTTCATCTATCCCATATATCAAATATTAGACATCCTGCCTTCATTTCTTCTTTAATGAAAATCCTCCCTGTCTGAGGGTCTCTTACTCCTGACCACGCTCACATATGGTGTGCACATACTAAACCTGCAGACTAAGGACTGCGCTGACTGTACACACATCACCTTGAGTCTGGAAGCAATGTATCTATCCTCAGTTTCATGGTTCTCCGTCCAAACTAACAAGCTGTTTGAAGAGCCTTCATGCACAGCTCCAAATAAGGTCACTCTGCTCTCAGACCCCAGTTATAAAGTCCACATAATGTCACACTGTGGTGTGCCACCATTCCAATCACACAGCATTGCTATGTTTTTTGAATATTTAGCAGGCCTGACTGACTTTTAATACCTTTAAATCTCTCATCTTTTTCAGATCTGGTGAACAGACCAGTTTCTGAAACAAAGTATTGCTATTCTTTGCTCCAGGCTTTTAAGATAAAGCATAAGAAAAAAAACATGATTCGCTATAATCAAAGGTGTGAATTCAAATCACTCTTCTTTTTTACCTACCTCTAGCCAGGGGAAATTACTAGGCAGATTCTGTAAATCAGTGTTTTTATAAGCTTTTGTCGGCACCATCCCACAACCCAGTCTACAGGATCCTTGAAATCCTTCTGCTCTCATCGTTCTAAGCTTCAGCTCGCCAACTGTAAATGTAGAGCTTAAACAGCAACATCCGTCCTACAGCTGAAACACTCTTACTTAAGAACCCTGGCTGTGTTGATCTCAAAACACTTTACTACTATGAGTTGTAAATTTCTTTACTCCAGATTCCCCACAGCCTCTATGAAACAAAGCCAATATATACAGACAACTTTTCAGCAATTTTTTAAACTATGTAATTGTGAAATCACATCTTTTGTTCAAATAAGCTGCCTACCTCTGAAAAGTACAATAGAGAAAATTGCCTTTCTGAATATTTAAGTGCTAAAAAAAAAAATGCAGAATATTAGGTGCTACTTACCCATAATAAACACGTAAGCCAGACTAAGCAAACTTGCAATAGCCATAATAGCTAAGCCAGCAATCACAACAGACCCATGCAACGGAGGACAGGCTGTTAAAAACACAATAAATAAAATTGTATCATCTGACACAAGTAAAAGCACAACTTTTATTTATTTTAGTACTCAGTTATATCTGAAAATAAGCCTGATAAAAACATACCGGATCAATTGCTCTTTCAAAGCTATCCAGAACTACTTCTGCATCTTTCTTTTTCTGTATACTTTCTTTAGTGGTACAGAGGCATTTACTGATTTATCCTGCTTAGCTGTACGATTCTACAACTGTAATTCACCATAACTGACAACATTCTTTCATGTCTTGCGGAAGGGAACTGGAGGCGCCTGAGGTATCAGGTGCCAACAAGAAAATACCTATGAAATACCTCAAGGGAAAAAAGGGGTGCTCTGCTATGAAGGTAACGAGGCCGACAGCTCAGATGAAATGCCTCTATACAAATGCATGCAGCATGGGAGACAAACAGGAGGAGTTGGAAGCAATCGTGCTGCTGGAAAGCTACGACCTGATTGCCATCACGGAAACTTGGTGGGATGAATCCCACGACTGGAATGTATCTCTTGATGGCTACAGGCTGTTCAGAAGGGACAGGCGAGGAAGGAGGGGTGGGAGCGTTGCCCTTTACATGAAGAAAACACTACAGAGTGAAGAGCTGTCCCTGAAGAAGAGCCACGAGCATGTCGAAAGCTTATGGGTAAGAATCCGAGAGAGAGGCAACAAAGGGAACCTAGTGGTTGGTGTCTACTACAGGCCGCCAGATCAAGAGGAGCTGACAGACGAAGCGTTCTTCCTCCAACTCCAGGAGGCTTCGCGCTCGCAGGCTCTCGTCCTACTGGGGGACTTCAACCACCCCGACATCTGCTGGAAAAGCAACACGGCAAGCTGTAGGCAATCCAGAAGGTTCCTAGAATGCACTGAGGAAAACTTCTTAAGCCAGGTAATAAGCACCCCTACCCGAGGGGATGCGATACTAGACCTGGTGGTCACCAATGCGCGTGAGCTCGTTGGGGATGTCAAGATCGGAGGTAGCCTGGGCTGCAGTGACCACGCGCTGGTGGAACTAATGCTACGGAGGGAAATGGGAATAACGAAGAGCATAGTCAGGACCCTAAATTTTAGGAGGGCAAATTTCCAGCTCTTCAAGGAGATAGTCAGAAGGACTCCCTGGGAAACGGTCCTCAGGGACA